TCTACAGAGCACAGAGCTCCAGGCTCCAATACAGAAATCTGACAAACACTGGGACTGCTGGGAAATCCACGTACTGCAATACAGTCAGCCAGTACCAGTAATTACACACTGAACTGAAGAAAACCAGGAAGGAACCTTCTGCAGACCTGATAAGGAGGCTGAAAGTCTCAGAAAACATGGCTGTGTTCGGCCTGTGGGGCTCGGGGGTGGTGGTGGTGGGGCCTGGTGGAGGGCAGAACTCCACCGTATTATCTCAGCTCTCTGAAATCTGGCTGCATGTTCGGACAGCGTGAGTCGAAACTGAAGGAGAAGTTTCAGGTGMGCGACAGCTCACTGACAGATGAACGTAGACGTCAGTCAGTCTCAGGGAAGACAACTGTTATCTTTACACAAACAGGAACAGGCATGTGACACTGTGGCCGCCTGCAGGCTCACCGAACTCATAAGATGTGCTCGACACACGAGATGTTATGTTGACAAACGGAGAAGAGTTACACCTGCACAGCTACTGGCAACAGCGCTGCGATGGAGCAATCTCYGCATTTTTTTTAAGTGCGAGTTTTTTACATGTCGTGCATGATGCCAGAATGAACCGAACGCCCTCACATCATCATCGTCTGTCATCTTAAAGCAGCAAAACGTGGCAACGAAGTTAAAGATCYGTGATCCTCTGTGATCTAAATCAGAGCGGCACAGTGACGAGTTTGTTATTTGAGGAACTTCGGACGAGCCGGGCTCAGAATAGACAAGTGTCACGTTGCGGAAGAAAACAACATGTGACCTGAAAACATCAAAACACGTAGAGAGTCTGTGAACAACTGTGCTCTGATAAAAAACAAAAAAAAGTTCTGGGGTTGGTTGTTAAAACAAGGTAGCAGACTTTAGAACAATCTGCTGAACTGAAAGGAAACAAATCACGGTGATGCAACGCTGCGAGTGTGGGAGCTCCTAACAGCAGATAGTTCCTGGACAGTCCCTCTGGTTTCCTGTGAAGATCAACAATCAGAGGAGCTCTGTTTAGTTTCACTTCTGCTCTTTTAAATGTGCCGTTTTACCTTTTCAGGAGGAAATGAATCCTTTAAATGTCACTTTAGATGCTGTATAAKCAATAAAGCAAAGCAAAATGTAGAAAGATTTTGCAGCAGTCAGAATAAAAGGCATTATTTTAAGCTAACCTGATGTAGCAGAAAAASAGTCCTGACTGGAAATTACCTTTTTTTTGCAACAATTGGTTATTTYAACTTTAGTGCAACATAACAAAAGAAAATCACTTGATTCATAGTTACTAAAAAAAAAAGCAAACACCACCTCAGATGAATGACACATGACAAATATCAGGTGTCTTTTTTTTTTTTACTTAAGAAGCTGTATTGAAAGAATAAGAAGTTTCATAAGAGTAGCTGAGGTCTCTGATCGCCAGCCAATAATAAAGTTTGCTGCTTTGGTGCATTCAGGTGTGTCCTGTGAGCAMCAGGCAGTACCTGATGTTTCCTATCAGTTTAGGAAAAGTTAATAAACTATTTATAATACTGTGATTTTTATCATTTTACAGTAAGAAAGGTTTTTCACTGAAAACAGTCCAAGCAAGACCCAAGTTCAGACGTGCAAAAACCCACGGAGCTACATCTCAAACTCAACAGATTCCAGTCAGAATGACAAATGTTAAAGTTCATCACAGAGAGAGAGAGACTTGTTTGGAGGAGCTGCCAGGTTTAAGATTTAAATTTAATGACAATGCAGTGTTTTACTGAACGAACCACAAGATTTCTGCAACGTCTTTCGAGAAAGAACTGCAGATGTTTGGTTAACATGTAGAACATCAGCATAAACGCCTCACATAAAGTGGTGGAAGAGCGACGATTAGAGTTTAGTCAGTTTAGTTTATATTGAAATAAAAAACTTTCCAAGGCTCTGTATGTAGTGCTGTGATTATAAGAATATAATTTCCCTGCAGCAAAGTAAGAAGTTGATGCAGAAATCATTTTTTTTTTTTTTTTTTTTTGTTGAAGCTGTCGCAGCACAAGTTGAGTTTTCAAGCTTTAAATGTCAGGGTGTCCTCAGTTTTTCCACACACTGCTTCTTCATTTTGTCTTAGTTCGTTAAAAAATGACAGTGAAATACATCTTATTGTGTTGTTCAGCTGAGGTTGTCTTTAAGACCTGATAGATCATGTTTTAAAAATTTTGATTTTTTTGTTTTGTTTTGTTTTGTTTTGTTCGTTTCAACTCTATGTTCTTTCCACTTCCACCTGGTCTTAACATCAAAACCTGGCACGTCCCAGTTGTGTCACGCCACAGGGAACAATGTATTTCCACCTATTTCTGTTGGTTCCTCTGTTGTGAAGCCGGTGCCTGCAAGCGTGCGTCTGTTTTTATGCCGCGGAACAAGGAAGGAAACCTGCTGCAGAGAGGAAGGAGAAAGTTTACAACGCCTCGCTGGCAAAGAGTCCAAGCTTCCTAACTGAAATTATTCAGCTACATGGAACACATTTACTTTGTTTTTTATTAGTAGTACTTCCATGATGTTCTTTTATGTCTTATTGCATTATAGCTGACTGATTAAACTCTTTGATTGATTTCTAACCAATACACTCAAACTTTGTATCGTTTTAATGATTTAAATATCTGAATATCTTGTAATTTTCATCATTATAAAGAGCTTCATTTCACTGCATAATATGAGTCTGTGCAGCTTTCTACACTGTCTGCTTCTCACCACACTGCTGTTGGGTTTAACTACAGTAAAGCTGCTAATTGTAGGCTAAACCTGAAAACTGTCATTTACTATTTGATTCGACTGAAGTGGTGCTAATACCCATGTCGCAAAGCTGATTCAGCCCTTTTGGTTGAACCGTATGAAAGTTGTGTAAACGTCATCTGAATTGCTTTGTGTTTTTACAGCTTTTGTCTCTTGTGTTGGAATTAGGCCCAACATGCAAGGAGCTTTTGTTCGAAGAAATCCAACAAACAGATCTGTGGTTTGTTGATGAGTACTTATTGCCTGAGCTCAGAGGTCACCTGAGAAATGAGTAACTAATGTTTTACATTTGAAAGAATCAAGAGAAATGATCTGCTGGAGTAATGAGAACACGGGTCTTTTCTGTATTATTAGGGATTTAAAATCCAAAGAGAAGAAAATAAGATCCTGAAATAARCATATTTTAGCTTATTCAAAATAAAAATTCATGGAAATCATGGCTTCTGTGTCCTCTCAGAGTGACTGTATGATTTTACAAATGACATGAAACAGGAACATATGTGCTGGTGTTTTAATGCTGAATAGTCCATTTAAAGATGGCAAATTGATTGTTTTTATAAATCTCTCTTCTGATCTTAACTCAGTCACATTCATCCATTCATTCACACATTCATCAGGGATGACACACAGACTCACCGTGTTGCACAGGGACATTTAGGGGAAGCCAGGATGACTGCTCTTTCTTTTCCAGCTCACATTTTGCCTCTCTTTATTTTTCAGGGAATGTAATACTTATTTACCCACATCGCAAAGTTTGTCTGGCCCAGGTCTGGCCCAGGTCTGGCCCACGCAACGCAAAACACTCTAACTCTCAGCGCAGATGCAGCAAAGAGTGCTAACAGCCCTTTGGTGGCCCAGATGTCACTTGCCAGAGGTGGTTCACGTTTGGGCCAGCGCCATACTAACCAAACAACAGTTGGGCCAGTCGTGGAATTACGCCATCATAAACGGTGACATCATTGCCAGACCTGGCCCACATCCAACAGACAAACCACCTCTCATTCCAGCAGTCAGTCAGCTTAACACCAGAACCTGTCTGCTACAAATGCCTTCTTCCATTTGCTACCAATTATTTTATAATAAAACATTAATACGTTTATTCAAAATGTAGATTAAATCTTATATTAAGTAAAAATAAAAAAATGTAAAGCTGCAATTAAAAGTGATCTTGTACATAACAGTTGTTAATCTCTCTCAGGATCAGTATTTTTGGTATGTTTGGACSTGACCACACTGATTAGCTGAGCTGCGTGATTAGAAAGGTTGATTCTTTCAGCTTAATAACGTGGGGTGGGACGTTTCAATTTCCCACATTGTAAAATACACAGGAAATGACTTCTCACAAAACAGCAGGAAGGACTTTTCGAACCCACAAAAACATGCAGGGATCCGTGCATCATCCTGCAAGCTGCATGAATCATAACCAGGCGGATTTTCCCACCCATTAAACAACAAAAAGGTAGTAGAAGTGTGGAGGATTTTTCTTTTTCCATCAAGGAAAAAAAAAACTTATGTTTGATCCAGATGTTCAGTCATCAGCTGCATATTAACCTGCTGCCTTTACTGGAAAACATCAACAGAGAGTTCCTGCCTCCTCTGCCAGCAGCTTCATTCAACAACCTGCACCACACCTTTCTTTATTACAATCTTACAGTAGTTGTGCCACTCTCAAAGTCAGGCTGGGAGCTATTTCAAGTCCGGAAGCAGCGGAGCAGGTGGAGTCAGCCCGAGAAAAAGGTTGAAATGAACCATAATGACAGGATTTAAATGTTAAAATAAGCCTCGAGYGGGAACAACTAACTGAACCTGTCTCAGCTCTGCTGTTTTTCAACATATAAAAAGCAGTTGTTCCAGTTCTGAGAGTTGTGAGCTACTAATACAACTGTTATTACCCTGAGCAGCAGCATGGTAAAAGACAAGCAGGTTGTGCAATCTGAGATGACCTTTGTGTTATCAGGAGGCACAGACACAAGCCTCAGAAGTCTGACTCCTCTCAAAGTTTTCAATCAAAACTTCATGATAACAGCTGGCACTGAGCAAGCCTTCAAATCTAATCAAACTTAAAACAAAGACTTCATCAGAAAAAACAATACTTTTAAATTCTTTATAACTTCTATGCTTCATAAAGTAGAGCATATTTTATTTAACATGCTACAATCGAGTCTAAATGTCAAACTCAAAATAATTTGTCACATGCCTCCGGTTTTCACCATAGAAATAAGAAGAAAACACAAAAACCTTACCTCTTATTTAAATCTAAGCTCTCCTTGATTCCAGCGTCTCCTGACAGAAAGAAGAGGAGCCGGACTGTTGTGAAAACTGCGTCCTCTTCAGTCAGCCTGACAGTTGGAGCAGCTGAGGGCGGTGCTCAGTGGGACACATCCCAGAGCTGCTGCTGCTCTTTGAGTCACACTTTTTTTCACTCTTCAACCCAACATCTGCCTTCCGYTGAAAACTGGAGGCAGTTCGGCTTCCAGCTTTAAAAGAAGCTGGACTTAAATACCAAAACTGGACAATGTAGGCGAGAGCAAAACTCCAGTTTGAATAAATCAATCATTATTGCATCCTGATACAAAGTGTACTTTAGTCTGAGACTGCCAGGCGCCTCTCGTCCTCAGACCCCAGACTGACAAAAAAAAAAAAAAAAAAAACCTTTGCAGCCCACGTTTTGCTGTGTGTCAGCAGAAACTGTAATCTGCCTGCGCGCTGACAAAATCACTGAATAAACTCTGGAAATCCATGAGAAGTCTGTGGATCCAACACGGTGATAATTGCTGCCACCTGGTGGTCGGTTTGATTAACTACAGGTTTTGGTTTTCAACATTTGGTCAATGCTGCCACCTCGTGGTAAGTTCAATGAAGTACAGCTTTGTTTTCTTTGTGCTTTTTATTTGAGATTTATTTTAGTCTCGATAAATAAATAAATAAATAAATAAATAAATAAATAAATAAATAAATAAATAAATAAATAAATAAATAACATTGTGCAAAACCAGTCAAATGTTTCACTGTTTATATAAACTTGAATTAAACAATGTTATTTACAATTTCAAGGTTTTTATTTTATTTTATTGGGTTTTTATGGAGGACTGCATTAGTTTAGAAAACACCTGTGTATTAGAGTATTTATACAGTCATGTAAATTGTGCTGTAGCTTGTAAACTGTGTGTTGCATCAACACGTGGTTGTGCAGAGGAGCTAGTAAGAAAAAAAATGCAGTGGAAAACTGTGCATGCCAAGGTGTTTTGCATTTAGTCTTTTTTTAGGAGGAGCTTTTAATAACGTGTTTTGGGCGCCATATAAACACGCCCTTGAGTTTTGTGCGGATTGTTGTGACGTAATCTTTCTGCGACYAAATAACGCAGCTAACCCCGCTGAAGACGGCATTAAAAGTTTCCATACATGAAAACAAAATGAATAGTACCTGTACTGCGGCAGTTTAAACTGCAGCTCGGACACGGACTGCAACTGCAAGTTTGATGCGTAGAGAAGCAAGAAGCAGCATTAGCAATGTTAGCGGCGTTAGCCYTTTTGATCTCAGGATGGTGACGTCATAACTGGAGCCCAGCACCACCAGCAGGTTGTGTTTCATTCTTCTGAAARATTAAAATGTCAACTTCAGCATTTAACTTTTACAATTAGGTGTAGGACTTAATATTTACATATTTTTAACATTTAAATTCAAATTGAGGAAATATTTGCAAATTGTAAGAACAGTGAGCTAAATACCAATACAATGTTAGGAGTGAATAATGAAAATGTGCTAGTAACAGTTTTTAACATTTTATTTTATACCTTAGTGCCTGTTTAAAAACATTACTTTGAAAATATTTGATCTGGTTGTCCAGTTTTTATAGAGTAGTCTATTTCCAGTTCAAATTTTTATTTTATTTTACTATTACCTAGTGACAATTGAAGTCATAAAGTTAGATGTGAGTCCATGAGCTGAATGAATAATGTGATGACGAACACTGACGCTGCTGTGCTCTCAGCGCAGCATCCTCACCACACCCTCCTCTTCCTCCTCCTCCTCTTCCTCCTCTGCGTGCAGCAGCAGCAGGACCGTCAGCTGAAGCATGATGCGATCTGCCCTGATAGTTTTGGCTCTGACAGCTGCAGCCTGCCATGGCATCCTCCCTGAGATAGTGGACTGGGGGATCAATCACATCGTGGAGGGACCATCCGAACTGGACCGCTCGTCTGTGGAGCAACGGCCGGTGGACCCGCAGCTAAAGCCAGAGGATGCGTTTCCCCAAGTAAGCAACTGAAAGTCCTGTTTACGTACAAGACACGGCTTTATCACACTGCAGGAGCCTTGCAAACAGTGCAAATAAATACAGAGAGGAAAATAGTTTAGAGGCAGATATATTTTTAATGTTTTGTTTTTTATGTATGTAATCCATCCAGGTAAACAAGAGCTCTCATCACAATGACCTTCATCTGCGTCATCAGAATGAAACTGTGTCTGATAAGGTGACTGATAGTGAATCTGTTCTGGACCTTGTAGGCCTGTTCACAAAGTAGAAACTATTTTATTACCTCTTGAATGAACTTCAACAAATGTCTTTTTTTTGCAGAAATCAAACATTACTTCAGCTGTCCCAGACTCTGACCTGGAGAATGATATTGATCATGTAAGTCTGGTCTGTTTGCCTTCAGACACTACATGAAGTGAGCAGTGAGAAGAAAATCACTTAAAAAAATCTTGTTTTCAGATTTTTCAGCTGCTCAGCCTGAGCTTCCTCAGCCCAGGAGAGGTTGCATAATTTCTACTGACTCAGCATTCTGTCAACAAATAGATTAAATCCTGTGTGCGTTCCCTATGTTTCTGTGTGCTATATTTCTAAAATTAAAGTAGAGAACAGTAAGTGCYCGCAGCTGATTTGTCAAGATAATTTATCAAAATGCTGACTGCATAAAACTCCGTGTGAGATATGTGTGTGCATAAATGTTTAATGAGCTTTTGCCTGCAAAATTCATTACTTGTACAAAAGGTTTTTTTACAAAGGTTTTTCTCGCTAAAGATTATTCACAAGATATTCCGAATCCTAAAGAGACAGTTTAGACTAAACTTCAGAGCTACAAAAAAAGAGATGATCTTGTTGTTCTTGTTTTTACAGGGATGCAGCACTGATGATGACTGTGATGAAGGAAAATACTGCTTTTCTGARGCACAGAATTCCAAGTGTCGACCATGTAAAGAAACTGATGTGGTAAGAGATGGGCTTTTCTTTTTCTTTGGGGGGAATCATATTTTTGTTGTTGATATAAT